ACTGGTAAACACTAGTTTGTTCTCTGTATCTGTGAGTCTGCTTCTTTATTTGTTGTATTTTTTAGATTCCACACAGAAGTGATGTTGGACAGTATGCGTCTTTCTCCGTCTGTTTATTTCACTTAGCACAATGCCCTCCCAGCCATCCATGTTGCTGCATATGGCAAACCTTTGTTCATTTTTATGACTGCATGGTATTCCGTTGCATAAGTATACCACGTCTTCTTTATCCAGTCGTCTGTTGGTGGACACTTAGGCTGCTTCCACATCTTGGCAGTTGTAAAGAACGCTGCTGTGAACATTGGGGTGCATGTATCTTTTTTAATGGGTGGGGTTTTGGGTTTGTTTCTTTGTTTTTGGATACATACCCAGGCGTGGAATTGCTGCCTCATATGGTAGTTCTGTCTTAAGCTTTTTTGAGAAACCTCCGTATTGTTTCCCACAGTGGCTGCACCAACTTACATCCCCAGCTGGACCGTCCGATGGTTCCCTTTTCTCCACGTTCTTGCCGACATCTGTTACTTGTGTTCTTTTTGGTGATGGCCATTCTGACAGGTGTGAGGGGATCGCTCCTCGTGGTTCTGATTTGCACGTCTCTGCTGATGCGTGATGTTGAGCATCTTTTCGTGTGCCTGTTGGCCGTCGGCCTTTCCTCTTTAGGAAAATGTCTGACCAGTTCTTCTGCCCGTTTTTCAGTCAGAATTTTGTTGTTGTTGTTGTTGGGGTTTTCGTTTGTTGTTTGTTTGTTTTTGGCTTTTTATTTTGGGGGGTAGGTGACATTGTTAGGTTTTTGGGTTTGAGTTGTTTGCGTGGTTTATACGTTGGATGTTAGTCCCTTATCAGTCACATCATTTGCAAATACTTTCTCCCGTTCAGTAGGTTGTCTTTTCTTCTGTCAGTAGTTTCCTTTCCCGCAAAAGCTTCTGAGTTTAATTACACCCATTTGTTTACTTTTGCTTTTATTTCCTTTCCTTTAGGAGGCAGATCCAAAAAGTGATTGCTGGGATTTATGTCAGAGAGTGTTCTGCCTCTGTTTTGTTCTAGGAGTCTTACAGTATCCGGTCTTACATTTAGGTCTTTAATCCATTTTAAGTTAATTTCTAAATATTCTAGACACCTTCTTTCAATCAGCGTATTCGCACGAAGTACCCACCCTCAGGATAGCTGAAGGCTATTTTCAACTCTAGGGCATTGAAAAGTTTCTGCTTCTAAGAAGTTCTGACCAGTGGGCTGTCAGTCGTCACGGCCCAGAGGCATGAGAGGTGTCACGCATTTGGGAAACTTAAAAGAATTGATACGGTTGGAGGATGGGCCAAGGAGGTGGAAGGTGGTAAAAACTTCTGCTAAAAAGGAAAGCGGTGGCAAAATCTCAAAGACCAGACATGCCCTGCTGAGAAATGTGGACTGTAATTGGGAGAGTAAGCTTTTTTCACACCTGACTCTTGAAGCAACTTTCCCCTTCAAGTCATGGTACAAGAAGCCAAATTCAAATGTGAGTATTGTAGGTAGGACAGAAGCGAGGACACCAAGCAATATGAAAAGGACCGGACTTGGGCTGTGCCCGTGGCTCTGCTCCCCAGGTGCCTCTCTCCCGTCCGCAGTGAGGGGACAGCCCAGCCTGAGCATCTTACCAGGCCTCGCCACCCCCACCTCCTCCTCTCCTCTCAGGTACCAGACGCAATTGCCAAATGCAAACGGGCAGGCATCACTGTCAGAATGGTGACGGGTGACAATATCAACACGGCCCGGGCCATCGCCACCAAATGTGGCATTCTGACACCTGGGGACGACTTACTGTGCTTAGAAGGCAAAGAATTCAATCGACTCATCCGCAACGAGAAGGGCGAGGTGGGTGTGGGTTGCGGGGGTCGGGTCCTCGGGATGAGAGAGGGGCGGGTTCTCGTGTGAGGCCTCTGGGACCCGTGGGAGAAAGTGGGTGGCTTTTCAACTAAAATCTCTTCGTAGTGAAACGTCCCTTTTCCCAAAGCTGCTCAGACGGTAAAACTGGAGTTTTCTTTCTTCTCATGATCTGCATTCACAAGCTACCTTTTGAGACACTAACTTCTCATGTCTTTCCATTTTGTTCCATCACGGGATGATTTTGCACTAATTTCCCTCCACCTCAGCCCTCCAGTGTCACTGCCCTGTGACGGACAGTGGCACAGGTTAGGAAGAGGACGTGGTCTGGGTGTGGAGCAGACCAGCACTGCCTGATTTACATAGAAATCAAACCTCAGTCCTCAGGAGGTTTAGCTGCCTGAGCCAACAGCTGACCCTAAGACATAGGGACTGGCTGCCAGGTCGGGAACTGGGAGGAGAAAGCAGACAAGCAGGGCCTGAATGGTCACACATCAGTGAGCCTGCCTTTGGAGACTGAGCTGGCTGCCTCCTCTCCACTGGAGTCCGGAATAACAGTCCTACACGGGCCGTGGGACGCCAGGTCTCCCAGGAGTTCAGCGTGTGTGGAGAAGTAAGATTTTCCTGGGTGGCTGTTCTGGGCTTGACTGACCCAGGTGTGGTCTCGTGCTGGCAGGTAGAGCAAGAAGAGCTGGACAAAATCTGGCCTCGACTCCGAGTCCTGGCGCGATCTTCCCCCACTGACAAGCATACCCTGGTGAAAGGTGAGGCTGGCTCCCGAGCAGGTGTGGGGGTAGAGGGAGGCAGGCCAGGGCGAGCGCAGGTAAGAACCCTCAGCCAAAGCAGCTGTCCTGTCCTGCACGGGGAGGTCCTAGGAGAGCTTCCCAGCTCGTGGCGGGAGCATTCAGCTTAGCAAACATCTGGGCCCCTGGTTGTAAGGCACATAACACAGTTGCTTTTAAACGCGGTCGTGTCTTGTGGCCGGTAGCGCCGTGAATTGGGCAGCGCGGGTTCAGCTGTTCCAATTTTTGCAAATAAGGAAATTTGAGGCTGAAAAGACCAGTAACTTGCCCACATTGTCCAGCTGGGAAGTGGACGTGGTACCGTGCAACCCCCGGTCTCTGCCTTCGAATCAGCCAGTGCTTTTTGCTCCACATAGCAGCTGCCTTAGGGAACCAGACAGGATACCTGACGAGGCTAAATTTTCTTAGCTTAGAGTGCTACCCGTGAAATAATTTGCTGCTGTTGGGTGACAGTGTAGGACCTCCAGCAAAGGGGAAAAAAGAGTAGAAAGGGAGGTGGTGGCAGGGACCAAAGAGGAAGATTGGAAAAGCGCCTTCCATGGGGGGCAGGCCTCGGACGGCATGTGTGGACTCACTGTGGTGTGTCTGTTTTTCCCAGGCATCATTGACAGCACTGTTGGGGAACAGCGACAGGTGGTGGCTGTCACTGGTGATGGCACGAATGATGGGCCAGCTCTGAAGAAAGCCGATGTTGGCTTTGCCATGGTAAGCAGCTCAGCGTAGTGTCTGTCCAACTGCAGCCTGCCTCCGCCATCAGGAAGCCAGGATAGGCCCCTGGGGACTTGCTGCTTCCTGAACCGAAACGTCACACTGTGTGCTCTTTCCTCTAACTCCATCTCTCCTACCGACCTGGCCAGTGATGCGTAGAATGAGGGACCCATCAGGTATGAAGGCAGGGAAATCATGGCATATCATTGCCCAAGAAAGCAAGACCAGCTGAAACTACCCATGAACATGGTGATGTTGTCTGCCCAGGCACACGATGGAAAATCCATGTTCCATGTGGAAAACATGTGCTTCGTGGTCAGCACTGTTTATTACTCGAGAGGCCGGAAGCATCAGAGTCAACTTGGAAAGTTCACTTAAAATCACATATTCCAAGTTGGAGATCTTGATTCAGCAGCCTCTGGGCTGGATCCCAGAAATGTTTGGGTTTTCTTAACAGGCGCACTTGTTGATTCTGACATTTAGAAGCTCGCGGATTACAAAGTACATCCTCACACTCAAGTAGCTTATGCTTGTAAGCTTTCCATATACGCTGACCTCTTGGTGATTTTTAAGCAGTGGGAGGACATTCAGGACATAACCTGTCTTTAGGGCTCTCTCTTTAACAGCAACAGAAAATTTTTTTATTCCAGGAAATTGCAAGAATATACAGAAGTAGAGAGAATAGTTTGTTGAATCCCTATGCACCTGTCACCCAGCGTCAGACATCAACACTTGGCCAGTCTTGTTTCACTGACACCCCAACACATACCCTCTTCCCCATCTCTAGCTGAATTATTCTGAAGCAAATCCAAGACATTATGTCGTTTCATCCTGTATATGTATCCGGAAGATAAGTATGTATCAGTAAAATATGTCTAAAAGAATCATAGTACTATTATCTCGTAACAAAATTGATTCTTCACTGTCTGTTAGTATCCTATTATTATTTATCCCATTATTAGTCCTATAATAATACGTTATTATTAATCCACAATAGTTAATAATAGGATACTGTCATTAGGTATCTAATCGCTTCATAAATGCTGTTTTTATAGTTTATTTGTCCAAGGCAGAATCCAAATAAGATCCATACAGTGCAGTTGGTTGATATCTCTCTTAAATCTATTATTCTGTAACAGTAGTTCTTGAAGTGTGCGCCTCCTAGCCATACCTGGAAACCTACAGAAATGCAGGTTCTCAGGCCTTACCCCAGATCTGCTGAATCAGAAAGCTTGGAGATGGGGCCCAACCATCTGTGTTTTAACAAGGCTTCTGGGTGATTCTGACACGTCCTAATGTTCGCGAACCACTGATCCTATAGGATCGCCGTGTTGGGGTCCCCAAGACCACCCTTTCCATTTGTGGGCTCACGAGAAGGACTTAGGAGACTCAGCGTATGGCTGTGCTCGTGGCAAGATGCCTCACATCGGTAAAGGAAGAATGCAGTCAGGAGACAGTCACAGGCAGAGCCTGGAATCCTCACGTGGGCTCCCCGAAGCTCCGTCTGCGAGGGTCAGGAAGAGCACGCTCTTCCCCAGCAGTGAAAATGCAGCAGCGCGTGTGCGGTGTTTCTGTCCAGAGGACCCCATCAGAGACCAGAGACTTGGCGCCCAGGGTTTTTATTGGGGTTGGTCACATAGGCACCGTCTGCCTAGCATGTCCTGAGATCCCAGACTCCCAGAAGGAAAGCAAGTTTTCGATGGAAACCAAGGGCACAGTCTAGACACAGTGAATCACTAACTAATTTTC